AGCCGCTACACGGGATAAGTTGATCAGTTGCATATCCCCGGCACTTGTAATCTCTCTTGATATAGTGAATTTTCGTTGGTCGGCGTCCATGGTGTTTTTCCCTTTCGCATTGAAGGGGGTTTCCATGTTAAAATCTTGCGCCCCTATGTTTGATTCGATCTTCCTCGTTTTCTTGTCTGTCATATCTCTAACACATGCAGTGCCTTGTGTACGCACACACTCCGATTGGTTGTCATGGTACAAAAGAATTTGTTGAGGAATGATTCATTTTTCCACGGTAACTCAACGAGACATTTTTGGTTTCTCAATTATGTCAAAATGTCATTGACGGGAGGCTGTGCGGTCGCTTCTCCACCAATAATCAATCGTCTTTCTCACATCTCGATGTTGATCAAATTTATGAAACCACATATCACCAAACAAAAATGGGCTTGCCTTCGAGCACTTGCACAATACGGAAATATAAGATGACCTTCCAAAGATCGACATAGCCCAGCTGATTACTACATACTCCGTCTCCTTAAAATTTAGGTACTTTAAGTCTACACTCATAAGTTACTGTCACAATTGATCATGTTCTACTTCCTTACCTTAATTCCTTAGGTAAAACACATAAATACCCTGCTGGTGTTACGGACACAGTGACTGCGGACTCAAGTTTTGGCACAAGCACAAACAGAACAAAAGCGCATACACCCTGACCGAACAATCCAACACATCCAGCAAAAGAAGACACCGAAGTTCAGTGGTACAAATTCTTCCTGGGCAGCAAAAGCAAACAGATCCATCGTTTTGACGCCATTTGATTATACTGATGTAGCAGTAGCACCAACAGGTAGCTTAGTCAGAGGTCGGCATTCTCCCCCAAGCTGCACCATAAGAAAACAAAGCTTCATAAGATGTTCCGATGAGCACAAGAGGAGCACATTTTGTCCCTTAAAATAACTTCAACTCTAGCTGTCCAAATGAACCAAGAAATAACAGGACACATCCACATCACGGTATGATTCAATATGTACTACTATAATGTCGGAGACACACATCAAGGAAATCCTCTCCTTCCCTTGTGCAAGTGTTCAGTGGCGCACGCACACACAAACACACACACCAACCAGAGCTCTGATCACATAACCTGTATGCAAACTGCTCTTGGCAATGCTGGGGCCTGATCAGCAAAGTTTGGCTAGGATAACCTACCCATAAGGCCTAATTAGTGCAGCATATATACTAGAGCAGCAAGCGAAACATACAGCACCAAGCACACAATCAGCATGGATTTCTTTGGTAAGCTGCTTGGTTATCTGCCTAAGGCAGGCTCCACACAACTACTGGGAACTCTACACATAAATGTCTATCTATTTACGTAGAAAAATGAAAGAAAATCTCTACATACTCCCTCCATAAAGAAATATACGAGCGTTTAGATCATTTCTTTAGTGATCTAAATGCTCTTATATTTCTTTACAGAGGGAGTACTTATCAACGTAGTTAAAGCTAGTGAATGGCGTGTTTAGTGTTCATGACTAAATGTGCATATTTCGTACCTCTAGTATAGAAGCTTGTGTAGGGCATGACTCTTTTGAAAGATGTCGCTCTATGTACCTCCTTGCTTCGGCCTGAGTTGAGCTCAATTGTGTACAACCCAGCCTCTGTATTCAGGAAGATGAGACCAACACCTTCTGCAAAACCAACCACTGACACATCCAAGAGGGCACGACAAGGGAGCAACGGTGCGAGCTCAATGACTCTGCGCTGTGCCAATGGCGCAGCTCCATTGGAGCCAGCCTCCATTGACCATAGGTAGAGTCTAGGCTCCAGCACAGTGGCGAACAGCAGCATGCCATCCTCCATCCCCAAGAGTCCAATGGCCGGTATGTCCTCATTATCGTCTTCAAATATTGGATCAATCACCGATAGTTCTTCCTCACCCATGTTGTACTCCACAATACTTTGGGTACATTCACATTGGAAATAGACCTTATTTCCAACAACGCCAATTTGCCCAGTCATCTCGATGGCATTCGGCTCCTCAATGGAGATCATGTCGCTCCACTCATCAGTCTGTGATGAGTATACAGATGCAAAGGTGATCTCCTGATCCTCGTCGGAGCCGACGAGGGCCACAAGGAAAGGGCCGCCATGGCAGTAGAGGTGGTTGCATCCATCCTTGGCGCAGAGCACTGCAGCATTCCAGGTTACTCCCTCGACCTCTTCCTCGTCCTCGTCATCGTCCTCGTCCTCACGATTCCAGATGATTTCCGCGCACTCGGGGGCGGCGTCGATCCTCCACCGGTCGTAGGTGACGAGGTCGCAGATGACGAAGTCCTCGTCCCTTTTGGGGGTGTGGAAGAGGACGAGGCCATGGCGGGAGTCGAGGACGCGCCAGTGGCGACGCTCGTGGCAGGCCGGCGGGCGGAAGGACGCGGTGGAGACGAAGTTGGAGACCAGGTACTCCTCGTGCTGCTTGCTCCTCCCTTTCCCCCACGACCTCTCGTGGTGGGTGTTGTGGAGGAAGCCCAGCACGGGCGGCGCGCCGTGGAAGGCGCGGTACTCGCGGGTGAAGATGACGTCGGAGAGGATGCGGCTCCAGGTCGTGCAGACGGCGGCGGCGCGGACGAGGGTCTTGGGGTCGTCCGCCGGGACGCGCAGGAAGATCTCCCTCATGGCGTCGTCGACCAGCGCCGGCGGCGAGTGGCGGCCGCGCTGCGCCAGAGGGAGGCTCGTCGTGGGGGGCATTGGGCCGCCGTCGCGTCGCCGGATTGGGGTTTCCGTCGAGGGATTTGCGGGGGAGTGGTGGAGCAGCGCCGCCGCGGCGTGGAGTTGCGAGTGGGAGGAGTGGGGTTTCTGCGTCCTGAATGGGCTCGTGTGAACAGGCTGGACCGCTGGGCCTATTTCGCTTTGCTCTTGGGCTTCAGGGAGGCCGAGATGCTAATATTTTCTTTTTCTTTTTTGAGATGCTAAATGTTTTGGTAGTCACAAGGAGAGAGTACGGCTATACCATAAGGACCCCTCAAAAAAAAAAACTATACGATGAGGAGAACACAGATGCGAATGTTTTCCTAAAAAAACTGTGCATGGATCACTCAAAGAAAAAGGATAGCACTACAAGGCAATACGATAAGGAGAACACGGATGAAATGTGCAATTTCCGCTGGCCGTTTGAGCATTATTATTTGAACACAGATCAAATGGATGCCTGCTTTGCTTTGTATATCAGCAAGGTTTTCTTCAGGCAATTACCATGGACCACTGGACTGATGGTACAAAGATGAAAGATGAGAGGGGTTACTTAATCATGAACAATCCTGAGCTCGCGGTAATGTTATCACACAGGACACGTCGTTCGTTGCCCTTGTCATGGAGTGGACATAGTACTCCCTCCGTTTTTATTTACTCCGCATATTAGTTTTGGTCAAAGTCAAACTTTATAAACTTTGACAAAGTTTGTAGACAAAAATATTAACATATACAATAAGAAATCAACACCATTAGATTCATTATCAAATGTACTTTCACATAGTATAAATTTGTTATGGTAAATATTTATATTTTCTTCTATAAACTTGGTCAAACTTTAGGAAGTTTGACTTCAGTCAACTCTAATATGCGAAGTAAATAAAAACGGAGGGAGTACAAAAGATATATATGTGCATCCTCGCAGTCACAGACAACTGGAAAAGGAAAATTATCTTTCTGTGCTGCCTCTTTTTCCCTATCTGATGATGGTGATCTCTGTGATACAACGCATTGCAAAGCACGACAATGGTGAAGAAAAAAAGATGTTACACAGCGTAACAACAAGCTCATACTCCGGTTCTTCATGCTGCTACGGCTACAGGTCTTTTGCTGGTCTTGATTCCTTTGATAGCTGCATATTCGCGAGATGGAATTAATATCTAAGAACTTCACAGGGTATAAGATCGAAAATGGATGCCGCTGGAAAGAGCCATACCTTCAGCATAGTCTTTAGCTCCGAAAACCGCAGAACCAGCAACAAGGGCATTCGCGCCAGCTTCAATGACCTATCATTTAGTAGAGTGAAGGGGAAATGAAATCAGCACCTGGCTGAATAAAATTGTTAATATAGGACTGTGACACAGGCTTGTCCACATAGGAGAGAGCACAAGGAAATTGGTATCATAGGAAAATCAGAACAAGAACTAGTGGTGAGATAACAACAGAGGAAAAAACTAGGTCACCTTGTAGGCATTTTTGGGGCTGACTCCACCATCAACCTCAATCCAGGGGTTCACTCCCTACAACATTAGGAAATTGAATTTGAGCATTTCAAACATCGAGGCGTAAGAATACCTACAAAACATAAGGGATATATACCTTCTCTTCACATAATTTTCTCAAATCAGCAATTTTCTTTACTTGGCTCTCAATGAAGCTTTGCCCACCAAACCCAGGGTTGACTGACATAATCAATACCAGATCAACAGCTGCACAGGCAAACAAATGCAATAGCTTGTCAGCTGTCAGTACATGGTGAATGCTCAAGATAATCATGAAAGATGATATATGTCTTGTTCAGTCTAGTTATAAACTACAGACATGTTTACTTGTCGAGCGTAAGACACAGTTAGAAATGCAACTAAGTTTTACTGCAATTAGTCTTATCCAAGGCAGAATACCGTTACATGGAAATAAGTAAAAAAGGTGCAGAGTCTATGTTACACTAAGAAAGCCTTGGAACTTTCACTTTGAATCCCGTTAATTAATCTTATCCAAGGAACACCATGTGAGTACATGTGGATAGTCAAGTAAGTCGAGATGATCATGTAGTGAAAATTGTCACAAATTCCCACCAGAAGCAGTACAAGTTTCATCTTAACTAGAACGCTAGCTATACTTATACCTATGCTGATAAAAGAAAACCATGATGAGTAGCTAAATAGTACGAGTGACTAGCCCGATCTACAGAATCACATACATATTCTGATTAGGTTTTGTGCTTCTTCCAACACCAATCTTTCGTGAGTCACCATTTTAGTGTTAAATACTAATCTAGTACCATCAATTGATTTTCCAAACATTAAGCACATCCCGAGATACCATCAGTAATGTAGAGAGAAGAATTCTTACATTCAAGTACATATTCTATCGCACTGAGTGGGGTCCCAGGGTTCAAAACAACTCCAGCCTTTGCTCCTAGACTTTTAATCTGGCAAAATGTATGAGATGAATACAATCAATCTGGTTTTTTCTGTGACATCAAAATAAAATTACTCACAAGCATCAGCCATTTAGTTGTAGCTCAGAAAATGAATATGGTATCCAGGTCAAACTACAGTTAGGCAGGTAAGAGGGATACAGGCATATTACAGCCCTTACCACTACTAGGATAATAAAAGATCTAGAAAAGGACTTGGTGTGCAAAGTGTTCCGACATTACAAGCATCAAGGAATGTATCAGCTGTAGGTGTAACACTAAGACGCTAGGAAGTCGAACGTGTGCTCCTCCTGCGATAGTAGCCTAGTGATAATCCAGCTAATATAACACAAAAACCTCACTCAATTCAGAAGGGACTCACACTTCATGAATGAACAGAAAATACAGCATAATTGTCAAGTATACTACTGACTGAAACCATCTGCACAACTACATCAAACCTAAACAACAAAAATTATCAAGGAGCAAATAAAAAGTGAGAGATGGACATAGACTCAAAAAGATAGTTGAAGTTGTTGGCATTCAACTCTATTATCTGAAATATTAACATGTGGATTGACATTCAGCCAATGATTACCTGATCGACTGTTCGGTGCAGATGGATGGTTGCCGTTTGCTCACAGTGGACGCTAACAATATCAGCACCTGCCTTGATAAAATCAGGAATTCGCTGCTCAGGTTCCACAATCATCTGCAATTAAAAATCACAAACACCATAATAAGAAGGGTTAATGGGGGTGAGACTACAGCACACAAACACTAAGAACTTCACTCAGGGTTCTCAATAAGTACCAGATGCACATCCAATGGAAGATCAGTCACTGGACGCAGAGCATCAACAATCAATGGTCCAATCGTGATGTTTGGCACAAAGCGACCGTCCATGACATCAACATGAATCCAGTCACATCCTGCCACCTCCACAGCTTTTACCTAGTAATATCAACACTGTCAAAAGATGAGTGTGAACTATAATTTCAGCACGCTACACTGCAGTGGCATTTTGGATGATAATTTGTGTCATGCAGGTGTTGGTCCATACAGCCAATTCATCATACTATCAAGCTATGGGACCGATAGCACACTAGAATCATTCTTCCAGACATTAATAATTCATGTTCAGTGGAGTGATCATGTCAGAGCTTTGTGGTGCAGTGGATGTTAGTATGTCAACAGACCTGTTCACCAAGCTTGGCGAAGTTTGCAGAGAGAATGGAAGGGGACACAATGATGTCACTCTTGGAGAAACTGTCGACCCTTGATGCCTTCACTTGGAATAGCTTCCTGGAAACCATGAATAAAAACAAAGTCTAGAATTCAGAACCAAACGAGACTGACACCCAAACCAATATGTGGTCATCAACAGGTGACCTGACCAGAAATTTTGCCTTGCCCCTTCCCTTCTTAACAGGCAACACGAACAAAGAGCTTAAGGAACAGCTTAAGCTTGTGCAAGCATGATCTATCATCGTTTTCAGAGTCTAAATTCCCTCTCTATGGTTTCGGTTGACGAGACAGAAAATGGTCGGTCAACACAAGCAGGCACACGCTGCTAAGATGGAACAGACATCCCTCCCCGATGCTTGCTCCCCCAAACTCGAACCCTTTCGTCAGAAGCCCATGGCACAAAACCAACCTCTAGCTGCCCTGCCTGCGATGATGAGCTAAATTGGTGCGTACACAGGGGTTGCTCGATCCCCGAGCACTTTGAGCTCGGGTCAGCACCACCAACTCCGTCCGAGAACGCGCCACACCGAGGGCGGCCGCGCAGTCCATTTGGACGCGCACAGGCTCTGATGCTCGGCGCCATCGGTCTGGTCACGGAACAAGGAGCTCGAGATTGCCGCCGAACCAAACGGGGATCGAAGTCGCCCCCGGCGCGGCGTGCCACCTACCCACCTACCCCGCGGTGCGGGCGCGGATACAGGCATACAGGGAGGGAGGAGAAAAGGCCTAGGCGCGGCGGGGAGGGGAGGGGAAGTGGACGGCGTACCTGGACGAGGAGAAGCCGGCGCGGCGGCGGGCGCCGAGGGAGGCGGCGCGCGGGTAGCCGAGGCTGGAGCAGAGCGACGAGGACGGGGACGCCATCTGTACCGCCGTGTTCGTCTTGTGTGTCTGTGTCCACCAACCAAAACTCGCTCGCGCTGCCGCTCTGCCTCTGGCGGAATGGAATGGAAACGCTGCCGATTTGGTGGGGGCTAGGCGCGGGGAGGGGGGAATCGCCGGGCGCAGCCGCAGCCTCACGACGGCTCCGTCTCGTTATCTGCTCGCTGACCCCGTAGCCACACAGAGATCGCAGCGTCTCCACGCCTTTTCGGGGGCACGCTCCGCCGGTTCGGGGGATTGTTTTGGTTGGTGTCGGGCTGGCGGCCGAGCCAGAGCCAGGCCAACGACCGCCGTTTCGTCGCCTACCCTGGGTGCGTGTGTGCGCCGTGCGCCTCCGCGGCACACCATCGCCCGTGCCGCGCACGGAATGGACAGAAACGGCACCCGGATCTCCCCGCGGCATCTCTTTCTTTCCTGATGCGCCACAGGGACCGGATCATCATACTCCGTCTGTGCTACTCCCTCCGTTCTGAATTACTTGTCTTGGATTTGTCTAGATACGGAGGTATCTGGCACTAAAATGAGTCTAGATACATCCGTATCTACACAAATCCAAGACAAGTAATTCGGAACGGAGGGAGTAGATACGTCAACTAATTCCGGAGGGAGGGAGGGAGGGGGTACGATATACACGCCAATTTATCAGTGCAGACAACACACGGCCACAACCAAACCCAATTTATTGTCTTCTCCCCCAATATGAAACGGAACAAAAAGTAAGTACTTCCTCCGTCCCATAATAGAATACTAGTGTCAAAAACGTTCTTATATTATGGAGCGGAGGGAGTATAATTTTCTCACACTGGGATTCTGTGTGGTCAAAACAATTTATTACCTCTGATCCGAATTAATTGACACAGCCTCTAGTCAATTAATTCGGATAGGAGGGAGTGTCATTTTTCCCCCATACGAAACAGAACAATAGTTTAGTTTTCTCACACTGGGGTTCTATATTATGGTCAAAACAAAGACATGCTACCATTTTTTTCCTTTTATTTTGATGTAGCAACGGGGCGTCGTACATACTGAAAGTTAGCAACACATAATAATCAACCATCACTCAACTCAGAGAGCATCCACGCTCCTGGCAAAGACCAACACTAAGTTCGCCATGGAATTATGAAAACCAAACTAAAGTCTACATAGAATTTACTGCTCGCAAAGAGATAGCAGCAGAATACAAAGCGATAACTGGGGATTTCCATTGCACTACGATGTTCTGCCAGGGCTTCATGCGCAAACTCGTGCTTATGAGCTGGAGTCACCGGCGTTCCCTTTTTCTCCGCTGCAGCAGTAGAAGTGCGGCAGCTTCACTCGCCCGCAGCACCTGAAAAAGCGCAAAAATCATATCCAGTCACGCCCTTCTCAACATACCACAGCAGGGACATGCAGATGTAGCTTGCTTGTGGCACTGAAAAATGCTCATTACTAGTGATCACTGGATCCATTTTCTATGTTCCGCATTCCCGAATGGTGACGTACAACAAAGGCATGAAGGCACTTGCACGAAAAGAAATATTACTAGCACAGATCAAAGGACAACAAATCTGGAACTGAGATGAGGTAGGCAGTTTCTGAATCCTCTGGGAAGAACTGATATGATTTTGTAATACTGTAAAATGTCAAACATCTCATGGCCTACTGTCTGAACCTATGAAATTCTGAAGGTGCCTGAAATTCTGTGGCTCCACTAAAACCTAAAGTTTGTAGCAACTGCCTAATGGTAGCATTACATTCTAGGGGGGATATCTTATATGCCACTGAGAGCTTGTGAAATGTCAAATGTCCATGACATCCAAGTTTGCCAATTTGTGTATTTGTACCACAGGAAACATGTGGCTTCAATGACCTATGCTACTTTCAGCGATCAATGTGGGGGAAAGATAAAAATACCCTGGTTCTACACCACTTCCACTACAAAAATATGAGATCCTATTATAGACTAATCTGTATTTGGACCATAAAAGTGGTAGCAAAAAAGCATATGTTGGTCTTCTCTGCGTTGCATTAAAAGGAACATCAGTGCCATATGTTTTTCCGATAGAAAATATGACATACACAAACTCAAAGTGGCATATAAGATATTCTCTGTACATTCGAAAAGGTAATTGTATCACTAAAAGTCAGGTTTTACATCTAACCAGTCTAACAGTTGTTTAACTAAGTAGTAAAACAATCAGAATCAAGAATACTGTTACACATGGAAATGTGATATTTGTTTTTATCCAACAATGATTTATTACAAAGTTAGCAAGAACACAACAAATTAGAAGCGTCAACAAGCATATCTCGAGTTCTAACTGTACCTGCAACGGACAATCACTGGAACAGGCTTCAGGGCTCTGGGCCCATTTCTCAAACCCCTCTTATATTTCGAGATCTGAAATGCACAAGAAAGAATGAGGGCAGCAATGGTGATTATGTACAAGGACAACAGGCAGAAACCAAAGAACAGTCTGTCTGAAGAACACATAGATAGTAGGCCAAAATATGATTATCCTAATAAGTAGTGTTGAGGATGTGAGATTGTAGGTTCTCCATATGTTGGTAATATTGATATTAATATCAATTTGTTCATCACATTTTGGCAAATTTGCATGTACATGAATGAAAAATATGTTTGAATACTAGAACTTATGTCTTCAAACATCAGTATAAACAAACATACCCCTGAATAAGACTTTGTGCTCTAACTGAAACTGACTTAAACGCCAAACACTATATCTGTCACTGAACTACCAAGTAATCAACAAGCAGGTGATCTGCACCATAATGCTATCAACTATGTTCCTCTGGTGAAACATTTCGACATGTCTCACTTTCCAGTTTCTACGCACCAGGCATTTCACCGAACACCTAGAGTGCATCCTCTTAGAGTCTTGGTACTACGCAACAGCAAAGGCAAAGAGATCACCGAAACCAGAGCACGCACATGTAAATGACAAGAATAACACGGAATAAAACGGGGGGATAAGCCACGAGACCTTCTTCTTGGGGACGGCCATGAGTTCCATCGCGGGGGCGATGGCGGCGCCGAGGCTGGGGAGCACGAGGGACTGTGCCTCGGGGAGAGGAGCGGGGGGAGGGGGTGGCATGATGGTGAGTCCAGACGGCATGCGAGGCAACGCCACCGCCGATGCCGCTCGCCGGAGCCAACCCGCCGCCGCCATGGATCGCCTTCGGGGTTCGGGGAGTGGGAGTTTGGAAGGGGGGTTTCGGCGAGGTCAGGAGGAGAGTGGGAGAGGCGCCGATCTGGCCGTCCAGTTTTATCCGGCGGATCGGATCATCGGATGGTTAGCGACAGAAATTTTGTTTTAATTAAAGGTTCGCCATCGTTTCCTCTAATCCAATCCAATAATTTTTATTTTTTATCAGTTTAATAATATGGTTATACGTATGGGTCCCATAGCTCAGCTGGTTAGAGTATCCGTCATCCATCTTCCCAACAAGCGCTATCGTTTAACGCCCCTAGCTAGGCATAAAAGCGAGGATAGATCTAAGTATTGTCATCTTGATTCTTAATTCTTTTAGTGATGTTATGCTCGAATCCGGGAGGTTCCTTACGTTTCCCTTCATATTCAGAGATCTTGAGATCTAAAAAATCCAACCGCTTATTGCAAAGAATAATTAACATATTCATGCAGTGAAGATTTCCACTAACGCTCTTAAGAGGTTCAAGAGATTTTTGTAAAATCTTAGTTACTTCGCAAATTTTCTCAAAAACTTGTGTTTCCTCTTGGGTATGATGGGGCCCCTTTTTTTGAGGTAAAGTTCCTACTATACCTTCCATAATTTCATGAGCGATACTCAGGTTAATTTCAATAAAATTGCCTTTGGCAACACAATTCAAAAGTTGTCTATGAGATATATTAAGCCCAACATAAAAATTGCAAAGCAAAATTCTGAAATTTACTTCTAGGGTGCATTTACGATAAGATTCCATTATTTTAAACCAAGCATCATTTAAGTTTTCTCCTTGCTTTTGTTTGAAATGAAGGACTTCAAACTCGGGAGACATAGGAGCAGAAAGAGGACTAGCCATGACGACAAGCAAACAAACTAGCACGCGAGCAAACAAAAGGCAAATAGAGAGGGCGAATAAAACGGCAAGGGTGAATTGGAGGGAGAGGAAAACGAGAGGCAAATGGCAAATAATTTAATGCGAGAGATAGGGATTGTGATGGGTACTTGGTATGTTGACTTTTTGCGTAGACTCCCCGGCAACGGCGCCAGAAATCCTTCTTGCTACGTCTTGAGCTTGTGTTGGTTTTCCCCGAAGAGGAAGGGATGATGCAGCAGAGTAGCGTAAGTATTTCACTCAGTTTTTGAGAACCAAGGTATCAATCCGGTAGAAGCCCACGCTCAAGTCCCTCGTACCTGCACAAAGCGATAGCTACTCGCAACCAACGCGATTAGGGGTTGTCAATCCCTTCACGGTCACTTACGAGAGTGAGATCTGATAGATATAATAGTTTGGTATTTTTGGTATAAAGATGCAAAATAAAAAGTAAAAGCAAAGTAAAAAAGCAAAGCAAGATTAAAGTGATGGAGATTGATATGATGAGAATAGACCCGGGGGCCATAGGTTTCACTAGTGGCTTCTCTCAAGAGCATAAGTATTCTACGGTGGGTGAACAAATTACTGTTGAGCAATTGACAGAATTGAGCATAGTTATGAGAATATCTAGGCATGATCATGTATATAGGCATCACGTCCATGACAAGTAGATCGAAACGATTTTGCATCTACTACTATTACTCCACTCATCGACCGCTATCCAGCATGCATCTAGAGTATTAAGTTGAAAACAGAGTAACGTCTTAAGCAAGATGACATGATGTAGAGAGATAAATTCATGCAATATGAAATAAACCCCATCTTGTTATCATCGATGGCAACGATACAATACGTGCCTTGATGCCCCTTCTGTCACTGGGTAAGGACACCGCAAGATCGAACCCAAAGCTAAGCACTTCTCCCA